TCACTTGACTCTGATGATGACTTCCGCACAGGTTGTCGAAACGTCAGTCACTGCCACCGACAACAGTCCTTCTCAGGACTACACTCACCCGGACGATCAGACTACACCTTCACATGTTACCCCCGGGTTCAAACCATTTACTGTGAATATTCATTGTATCTCATTTATCACTTTCACGGGTTTATTACGAATCAACTTAACGGCCTGCTCCCAGTTGGCTTGTTAGCTCAATTGGTAGAGCGCTGCACTAGTATCGCAGAGGTCAGTGGTTCGAGTCCCGTACAGGCCTGATTTTTTTCAGGTCTGATTTTCGCTATTGCATAAATAGCGCTATCTACTGCGAGGATCGTGCATCATACGTATCTAATACCGCAGTTCAAAATATATGAACTTCATATATTCATTGTATCTCATTTATCACTTTCACGGGTTTATTACGAATCAACTTAACGGCCTGCTCCCAGTTGGCTTGTTAGCTCAATTGGTAGAGCGCTGCACTAGTATCGCAGAGGTCAGTGGTTCGAGTCCCGTACAGGCCTGATTTTTTTCAGGTCTGATTTTCGCTATTGCATAAATAGCGCTATCTACTGCGAGGATCGTGCATCATACGTATCTAATACCGCAGTTCAAAATATATGAACTTCATATATTCATTGTATCTCATTTATCACTTTCACGGGTTTATTACGAATCAACTTAACGGCCTGCTCCCAGTTGGCTTGTTAGCTCAATTGGTAGAGCGCTGCACTAGTATCGCAGAGGTCAGTGGTTCGAGTCCCGTACAGGCCTGATTTTTTTCAGGTCTGATTTTCGCTATTGCATAAATAGCGCTATCTACTGCGAGGATCATGCATCATACGTATGTATGTATGTATGTATCTTTTAAAAAAGTTCCAGAATGTTGTAGAGATCTGTAATACTGCTATTTTTAGTAACACTACTATTACGTCATGGCGAAAATATGCTGGCTAACTGTTCTAGAAAGTTTTATTAAAAGCTCTTAATGAGTCAGCATGAGTAAACGTTCTAGAAACCTCCTCGATTCTATTTTTAGCAACTATGTAACACCATGCTCTCCTTAACAGTAGTAGCACCCTAGACGAAACACGTGATAAAATGAACACTGCGATGGGTGCAAAGCGTAATAAATGACACCATAGCAGCCGACTCTGATTCCTCAGTACATTACTATAAACAGCTTTCTTATGAAAATCGTTGATGTTCTTGATACGCTCGTCAAATATAGGCAAATATAAACCAACTGTTTTCGATGATTGGAGCAATTCAGTTGGACAGATTTCATAGTTACCTGTGCATTTTTTGCCATTGCCATTAAATCCGACCTTGCAGCTGCAGTTAAAAGAACCTTCGGTATTGTTGCACTCAGCGTTGACGTCACAGTTGTGGGTTTTGGAGGAACACTCGTTTACATCTGTAGAAACAAATTCTTTCCGTAAATAATTAAATTTAAAAAAGTTGATAAAAGCCTTTGCAAGTATGTTCTGATTGGATGACCTGTGATAAACGACAAGACTGAAAGGGTTACGGAATAAACTGCAACTCGGAAATGGTTTATTTCACCGAAAACCGTCGGTTTGAAATTACAGTTATCGTAAACTGTAAGACTTGAGATCACCGCAACACCGCAATGCGAGTTGTTTTTCTCTGCAATACCGCATGAAAAAGATCAACACCACAACAATATGATTGGTTTGTGATACATGAAAAATGCGGCAATCTAATTGGTGCGAGCGACGTAGTACTCTTTACGCTTACATTATACTGGATTACACTGAGATACACTGAATTATTGATTAAATTACACTGAATTATTGATTCATTTCTTAGAAATAATTCAATTATGGATAGGACTTTCTCCAATGAAAGAGCGGATCATTTTTCACACTTGCTGAAATTAAAGTAGGTTTTTCATTCACATAAGTTGGACCCGTCTGTGTTATTCCAAATTATCGCGATATGGATACACGGTCCTTGGAGAGCAAAAGAGAAGCTCTCGTCACGTTTAGGCTGATACAAACTAACAAGGATTATGAATCTACTGTGTTCTATGTTGGGTAAACTTTAGGTAGAGAATGTCATGGTTACCTGTACAGTTCTTGCCATCGTCATTAAACCCTTCTTTGCAGCTGCAGTTAAAGGAACCCTCGGTATTATTACAGTGAGCATGGACACCACAGTTGTGGGCATCGGTGGCACATTCGTTTATATCTGAAGAAACAAATGCTTTCCGTTCAAAAGAAAGAATGGCAAATCATAAAAGCATATTCAAGAATTCGTCTGATCGTTTTTAACCTGTGATATGCCAATTTTTACATTATTGTAATATTACTGAAAGCGTCCACGTCAAATAATGATTATCATTGAATTGACATAAACAACCAATCCAAAAATAAACAATTAAATTGATTAACAGACACATCAAGAAGGACACGGGTCTTCTAATGCAAAGGAGGACGCGGGACGTGCGTGACGTGATGCTAACAATGATTGTACAATGATAATACAACTGTGCTTAAAAACATTGTAAACTTGACTAAACTTCCGACACAAATAGTGTAATACAACCAAAACTAAACCAACACAAGTTGTCTTCCACCACTCGTAAAATCGTTTGATGACAGGTAGTAGCATTCGAAACATGAAACGCGTGATAAAATGAACACTGCGATGGATGCAAAGAGCGAAAAATGATACATTTGCAGCCGACTGATCCCTCTACATTACCATACACAGCTTTGTTACGAAAATCGTCGATGTTCTTGATACGCTCGTGAAGTTTAGGAAAATATAAACAAACTGATTTGGACGTTTGGAACAGGTGGACACATTTCATAGTTACCTGTGCATGTTTTGCCATCGCCATTAAACCCAAACTTGCAGCTGCAGTTGAAAGAACCTTCGGTATTGTTGCACTTGGCATTAACGTCGCAATTGTGTGTATTGATGGTACACTCGTCTACATCTGTAGGAACAAATTCTTTCCGTTAATAATGAAATTAAAAAAGAAAATTATATGAGCTTTACAGGTATGTTCTGAATGGACGACCTGCGATACTCAACAGGACTGAAAGCTCACTGAAAGTGCACATACGTCATAATTGACTTTTTTTTTGTGTAGTATCGCTGAGTATTTTTACGAGTTGTGCCGTATTTTGACAAGCCTGTAAGGCGAGTCAAATTATGAACGACACTGAAAACTGTCTTGCAATTGGTGTGTGTCAAATATCACTGAAAGTGCCCGCGTCAAATGATCTTTATCATTTAATTTACACTGAAATGACCAATCCGCAGGTAAACAATCTTAAATCAAATTAATTAACAGGCACATCATCAGGAAAGGACACGCGTCTTCTAAGACAAAAAAAGGGCGCGATACGTGAATATTGTGATGCTAGCAATGATTACAGAATGAAAATGTAGCTGTGATTAAAGAAATTGTAAACTTGACTCCACACAAAAAGAATGTAATGCAACTAAAACTGAAAGAACACAATTTTTCGTCCACGACTCGTAAATCGTTTAATAACAGGTAGTGTTACGGTATTTTCTCAACCGCCAGAAAGATACAACTCGTACTAACTCAACTACTTTATTGACTGACGTACTAACTACGAAGCGATACCAATAACTAATACAATAACTATCCTCTTAACTTAGCTACGTAGCGACATTAATACCTATACAATAACTATCCTCTTAACTTAGAGCCTTCTATAAATACTATAACCTCAATCTCAGTGCACTACTGCACAACTCACGGTTCTCTTTAAAGATCCTCGTCACTTATCAATATCCACAACACTTTTTCAAGGCAGCCTTCCACGCGGCTGACGATTCCAGTAAAATAATTCCAACAACTCTATCCGGCTCTCGCTCCTCTGGGCTCTTCGTAGTAACACTGACTACCTGAAAAAGGCCTCTAATAACCTATTGCGACTCCTTATATATCTTTTTGAATGTGTAGTACCAAGTATGTATGTATGTATGTATGTATGTATGTATGTAGAGAGATTAAACTTGGTGTCCGTGAAACAGTGCTCGATACAAATAGTAGAGCGGGTATAATGTGTGGTAGGCCGAAAAAAAATAACTACATATACATCCCTACAGACCTGTTTCGTTGTTTCCCACTCATCAGGGGATTTTAAAAGATACATACCTGCATACAGATGTATGTATGTATGTATGTATCTTTTAAAAAAGTTCCAGAATGTTCTCGAGATCTGTAATACTGCTATTTTTAGTAACTTTACACTACTACTACATCATAACGAAAATATGCTGGTTAACTGTTCTAAATGTTCCATTAAAAGTTCTTAATGAGTCAGCATGACTAAGCGTTCTCAAAAACTTCCTCAATTCTATTTTTAGCAACTATGTAACACCATGCTCTCCATAACAGTAGTAGCACCCTAGACACGAAACGCGTAGTGAAATGAACAGTGCGATGGATGCAAAGCGTCATACATGACACATTTGCAGCCGACTCATATCTCTACATTACCATACACAGCTTTCTTATGAAAATCGTCGATGTTCTGGATACGCTCGTCAAGTTTAGGTAAATATAAACAAACTGATTTTGATGCATGGAACAGGTGGACACATTTCATAGTTACCTGTGCATTTTTTGCCATCGCCATTAAACCCAACCTTGCAGCTGCAGTTGAAAGAACCTTCGATATTGTTACACTTGGCATTAACGTCGCAGTTGTGGGTATTGTTGGTACATTCGTCTACATCTGTAGGACCAAATTCTTTCCGTTAATAATGAAATTAAAAAAATTATATAGGCTTTTACAGGTATGCTCTGATTGGACGGCCTACGATACTCAACAGGACTGAAAGCTCACTGAAAGTGCACCAGGTACAATGATGTTTTGGGGCAACTTATTTTCTATCGAAGGGGGGGAGTTGGGAGGATCGCATGGTTTTTAAAGCGAGCGGCTACAAAGTGTGATACATACGTCATAATTGACTTTTTGTTGTGTAGTATCGCAGAGTATTTTTACGAGTTGTGCCGTATTTTGACAAGACCGTAAGGAAAGTCAAATCATAAACGACAGGTAAAACTGTCATTCTTGATGTGAGTCAAATATCACTAAAAGCGCCCGCGCCAAATGATCTTTATTATTCAACTTACACTGAAACGACTAATCAGCAGGTTAACAATCTTAAATCAAATTAATTAACAGCCACATCATCAAGAAAGGCACATACATACATTTAAACAACCAAAAGGCCGAAAAATCTGTCTCAATATTGCCTCCTTTGCGCGGTTTTAGAATGGCATCACTCAATATTAATCAATTAATTACTCATATAGACGAATTAAGAATCATATTAGCAAACAATGATATCGATATTGTTTCCATAAATGAAACGAAACTGAACGAGAGTATTCGAGATCAAGAAGTTCATATTCCGGGATACGAAATAGTTCGCCGCGATAGACTAACAAAATGCGGCGGAGGGGTATGCTTCTATGTAAAAACTTCAATCAACTTTACAGTACGAAATGACCTACACATGGATACACTAGAAAATCTTTGCTTGGAAATCCATAAGCCAAATTCAAAATCTTTTGTGATTGTTACTTGGTACAGACCACCTGACTCTCCTATTGGCATTTTTTCACCTTTTGAATCCCTAATTGGGA